CGGGCTGTGACGTCTATGTTGAGGGTGCTTGTCTTGCGCATGGGGCACTGCTGTACGCACGCACTTCGAACTCCGCGACAAATAACATACATACGTGTGTATGCACGGCAGTCAGGGTATGTGCGGACATGATCTCGGGATTGTAGGTAATCGCCACTCTAGTCTAAAATGGTAAGAGCGCGACAAATACATTGACACTTACTTTGCACAGACACGGGCACACGGCCACCCACCCACAAACAGCAGTGTCACCTTCATTTCAATACTGAAACGCTACCCCACATACAACGAGCAAAGAAGAATACAGTCAAGACGTGGCACGTTTTCAGGGAACTCTACTTGTAGTCATAACTTGTAGGCATCGACTGCTGGTGGTTGGCACCGCCGCAGCTTTCTTCTCTATGTTCTCTACAATAACGCCGCTGCTGCAGCACACACACTGAAGCGATTTGATTCGAGGCGGATACCGGTCCTTGAATGCTGAAAGTTCGGTCGTCACTCCCCGGAGCGATGTACTTATGATACTGCTGCTTGTGGCGACGGTTGCTCTACGTCGGCGCAGAACTCGGCGTGTCTGTCGGGACAGCGCGCTGCGTGCCTAACATGCCTAACATGAAACATGCCTCCTGTCATACTCCGGAAAATGAGGGGTTTTTATCCCTGGGTCGCGTTTTTTAAACGAGACCCCCGGGTCGCGTTTACCGGCTCCCGTGACGACGTCGTACCTGCACTCGTACATCTTCATTCGCCGGAGCCCCAACCATTGACGTGTCCATCTGAGCAAGTGGAATACCTTGCGATGAGCGCTACGCGGACGCTTCGTGCTGCTACTGCTGCTGGAAGGGGTTCCGCCCGAAGATGTCATTGCATGTGAGGGGTTGAGCAACAAGAGAGGGTTGTGAATCTCTGTCTCTTTGTGGTCGTATCTCGTAACTTTAGTTCCACCGCCATTTCCATACAACGTGCAACAACAGGCGATACACGCGCATTGGGAACGTGCAATCGATGCAGGTAAGCGGCGCACACAGCTGGTAAACTCGTAATGTTTCCTAGTAGAGGTCGCTGAGTGTCTTTTGGGAATCAAAACACAGCAGGTACTATTCTAGCGCAGGCATCTCTTGCCTGCGTTCGTCATGAACCGCAGCAACCGAGACGCAAACGAGATCTGTACAGCGGGTTCCTCTCCTTCCACATTTTCTGATGTGATGTGTTTGCATGGTTGTGCGCGAGACAACGAGGCGGTAGTAAGGTCCTCTGATTGTTGCTACTTTTGTCTCCAATGTATTGACTGCGGAATCGTCGCGATTGGTGCCCCTTCAACTCTACTCCTTGCCGCCGCAATGAATGTCAACCAACCGTCTGTGCTGTCTGTCTTCCCCCCCCCCCCCCCCCCCCCCCCCCCCCCCCCCCCCCCCCCCCCCCCCCCCCCCCCCCCCCCCCCCCC